TGCAGCTTTATTTCCTGTCTAACAGCCATGAGATTTAAAGTGTGATTGGAGAGTTTTTGGATTCTTCTGCAACACGTTTTGCAGAAATTAGCTCCGATGGAGAGTTTCCACGAGCTTATCATTCATATCGTCCACTGTATTGCAGTTTTCTGGGTACTGAAAACGATTTTGTTATTGTGTTGAAAGTTTTTGGGGCTTTGGGTTAGCGCACGAAGGAGACAGAGCGTTGACTTCATTAGACGTGATCTCTACACCTCAACGTTTAGTTTCAGTGTGCCTATAATCATTCGGTAATCGCTGCCAGCTTTCACCCTCACAATATGGCTTTAGACATTTTCTCCACCATTCATCGGGATGTACCAAGGTTGGTGCGTTTGCCTATATGACTTTTAGGGAATACCGCTTGATGATTCAAAGTATAAGGTACGCAACCCTCGTCCACAAACTCCCAAACTTTACAACTTTGTTAAGGAGAAACTTCTTGACGAATAATCCGATACCTCCTAGGGACAAATCGTCGTACAACCCGGAGATAGATAATCCCTCTCTTTTGGAAACGCGGATAATCCTATAATATCCCAGTGCAACTTATCTATCTCCTATTTCAGCTCCAGGATCTTCTCGTCAGTCCTCAGGGTGCGTTCGTTATATATATTTAGTCTAAAAAATTACGTAAATAGAATTCTTAATTTTCCACTGCACTTCAGTTGCAATATTAATGAGTTAAACGTCTTTTAGCGCTAACGGTAGTGAACGACGACGAAGTGGCTCTGACGTTGTCTGTTAATACAGTTGCTACAAGCTAAGCGCTCATGTAGCTATATTTGCCCGCGCTTACAGCTGTGGCAATATTATTTGTGTGTCACAAATAATATTCATTTCTTAATTTATTTGGAACATTTTGTTGTTATTACATAATGAGTAGTTATTGAAAAAGTAACTTGTACGAGGAGTGTGATTTGCAAGATGATGTTGTGACCAGGATTAAGAAAGGAATGCTTCGGTGGTTTGATCATGTGGAAAGAATGAATGAGGAAAGAGTGACAAAGAAAATTTATGGTGCAGAAGTGAATGGCAGAGTCGGGAAGAGACGTCCTAGGCGAAAATTTATCGACCAAATTGGCGGTTTATTGAAAACGGGCCAAATTAGGAGTACCCTTAAGCCGACGAGCATGTATGCGTAGGTGTATGGATGTGAAGGAGGCAACAGAGGTGTGTCAGGATCGTGCCAAATGGAAGTCTGTAGTCTCTGCCTACCCCTCTGGGTGACAGGCGTGAGTGTTTATGTTATGTTAACTTGTACGAAAAAGAGAGAGCTGCGACGATAATTAGTGTTAGCTCTGGGTATTGCTAGATGTTGGGTACGTCTAAAGGTAATTTGTATGTTACCCAGATGTTAACTTGCCTTAATATCCGTATTAGAGCAATTTAAAATCTGGGCGGTTGATGAGACAAATAACATTTTTTAACAGACACATAATACATATATTAGACATTATATGTTCGTAGTTAATTTTACGGCTTTTGCCTAGATATAAGAATCGATAAAACTATGGTAAATTTCACGACGCGTTTCATGTTCGCGGCTTTTTGCCCCATGTTGCGACTGCCGCTGACGAAGTACACTTGCGTGCGGAGAAACGTAACGTCTTCGCGCGCGTTGCACGCGAGGACGTATGGGTAATCGCTTCCTCAGCGGGCACGAATTCACATAATACTGCAATCTCATTACTCAAGAATTTTTGATACACGCGTAGTAGCGCCATGCTGCAGGTATATTATAATTTTATTACGAATATTTAGGCTCAACTGGAGTAGGACCACGTTATCACAGAATACCAACATAAAATAACAGTTTCATGCTGCCCTGTTTCATATGGTGATTGTAGAAAACCGGAAACCGCTCTTACTAGAAAAGAGACATTTGATCTTAGTCTTCAGTGGTGATAACACATCTTTATTTAGAATAGATGTTGATGTATATGGGCCACAGCAACAGTTCCTGTACCGAAATTGGTGCGGGTAAATATCGCTCCATGAGTGTTTAGTTTAATAAGACTAGTGGTAAACGACATCGAGTTGAGTGACTAGTTTATTCTTAATTGTTTTATACACTATTAGTTTTTCAGGAGCCCCTTACCTCAGAATTAATAAAATTAAACAAGAAATAATGATTCAAAGTTTCTAAAACGGTGTTACACAAATATAACACTAGACTGCTACTAGATATAATGTAACACCAGACTTACAAAACTTTTCAATATTATAATTATCTATTATACTTGTATATATTAAATCGTAATTAAACAAAATATTCATTGATGTCCTTCTAGTTCGTTTCCATGACGTATTCTTCAAGTTGATATTAAATTTAAAATTTATAGTAATTGCCAAACAAATTTTCATCTCAAGAACTTTATTTCTTTGACGAAAATGAATTTTATTGTTTAAAGAAACCCTTACAAAAGTTAAATGACGTTCAACAACTCTAACGGTCCGCATTTTCTTAACAACTCTTTTTTTAATTAAATATTTCTGTTAGGCATTTTGATGCGACACTGCGGTGACAGAGGTGCAACAATCCTATTGTTGTGAATGGGTTTGTGGCTAGTGTATATTAAGGGCTTGTGCAGGGAGGAAAATGAAGTAACGGTTCACATACGTTGTAGCTGATTTATTTTGTACTGATCTGCCTACTGCACTCTAGCTCTCTAGCTAACCGACTTACAGACTGCCATCCCGCTGGCGACGGTCGTTATCGTATTTCATGCGAATTACATTTACATTGATACGGGCGATGTATGTGTGTGCTGTGTCAGCGGCACCCACAGTACTCCCCCCCCCCCTTTAAAAATGAATTTGAAACATAATTTGGTAAAAGGTTTGATCTGAAACGATATAAGTAGTATATATTACTTCTAGCTAAAACTAAAAAGAGTGCGTGGAGCCTACAAAGTTGCAAGCAAACGATGCGATAACGCGTGGCTTGCTTGCTACTTGCTCGCTTGACCTACATACTTTCTACGAAAATGATATATCGAAACATTCATTTAAAAATACTTACGGGTAAATTACATTGAAGTGTTTAACACTATAATATAAAATACAAGGTGACTCTCTTATGGGTCAATATTAATTTCATAAACGCTATATAGTCTTAAAGGTAAAATTACATATACATGCTTCATGTTCTTATGTTTTATTTCGTCTGAGTTCTTAACAATATATTTAAGTACTTACTTATCTCTAATTTCTTACATTAACTTTAATTAGTGACACTCATTAATTACAAAGGTTTAGGTCCACAAATACGTAATACATGGTTTAATTTGTATTATTCAAGAATGGAAAACATACTATATAGTTTTATTTTATTTTAACACTAGTATTTTATTAATGCACTGATGCTGATTGAGCGGCTGGACTAGCTGCTGTTTGAGCTAGCTGTGTCCCGCGTCCTTGCCCGATACTCGAAATAACTTGTTCGATCACTTCACCCTTTACTTTCTTTCCGGCTTTCCGGCAAAAAATGTAAAAACACATGTTAAACTTATCACAATTATCGTAAGCACACTGTAGAATTTTAATTTTCTTTGTAATTCAGCGTGCTCTTGATTACCGGCTCCATTCTGAGCTATTATTACTTCCGCGTTCTTGGACTGTTGCTTGCCCATGTAGTATTGATACAGCCAAGTAGTCATAAAAATTTTTTGAAAACGTTATTTTTACATAAAAGATGTGTCAATCGGTTAGAATTGTACATATAATAATTGCTAATTATTCTCCTTTCTAAGTAAACTTTTACCTAAATATGCAAGGTTACATAAAATTAAATTTGCTTAAGACCTAGATTACAAAAAACGCACAGGTGGCTTTACCACTCGGCCACTCCGTGTGGTAGAAGGAATAAACTTATTATCTACTTTACTCTCTGTGTTCGCGTTCTGAATTTCATTATTATTTGTGCTTAAATTATTAGTTTCTGACTCGACTATATATGCTAGTTTCAACCTTTCAATGGAAATATTGACCTGCCTATGAGGAAGTTGTACCTTAAATACCTTATTATTTAACTTAGAACGCTGTAGGGGCCATCGTAAGTACCAATAAGTCACGAAATGGATGCGATTCCTGAATGCTATTTATTGTCGGCCCACTATAGCTTACGATGGTCCCTATCGTACATAAATTAGTCACATTATCTATCAATTTCCTGTTATGTAAGTCTACCAATAATCGGTGCGTTTTAAAAAAATCAGCGCCTATTATTGGTTTACTTACGTCACAAATAATGAATGGCCATTTAAAACTGCGTCGTAGCCCTAAATTTAACTCTAATGTTACGACACCATATGTATTTATTTCCGTGCAATTTGCAGCAAATAACTTATAATTACTTTCGACCTGATTTCGATATTTTTGTTTAGTTTTAGTCACCGGTATGACCGACACATTTGCACCAGTATCTATGAGAAAATTCATACCATTTTTAGTGTCCGTGACGTTTCTGTGAAGTTGATGCATGCTACCACCGCATCAGGCTGCACCCTCTTCAGTTTTCCGACTTGCTGGCGTTGTTGGTCTTTTCCAATTGCAAGGAGACTCACATCGTCGTGACGCCTCGCGGTACCGGAAATGGTACCGGCACAACCAATCTTCACTGCGTGGCGTCCGTTGCGGCGTACGGTTCCTGGAACGGGAACGGTTACGTACCCATCGCCTACCACTACTATTATGACGGCGGTTGTTTATGGCGTTTACCTCACTGCGCCGCGTCTTGAGCTCCAGTGCCATGGTCTTCATTTGGGTCAGCAGCTCCACGTTCACCTCTGCCACGGTAGGGGTCGATGACGAGCTGCGGGTTGAGCCGGTGTTCACGGCCAACAGCTCCCCGTTGCGTAGATTGTCCATCCCCTTATCGGCCATCTCAGCGAGGTTGTCTAGTTTCATGTCTGCTCTGTTGGTGGCCAAGATCGCGTGAACCCATGCCGGTAGTCACACTAGCCACAAATTTTAAGCGTGTCGCCTTCAGCACCGGAGTTCTTCGCGAGCTCATTCATCTTGGCTAGCAGCTGAGATGGTCGCTGCTGCCCTAATTCCATTTCCGACACGATTTTGTTAAATTGGGCCTCGGCACTGGTTTGAAAAACTCTGAGGAGCCTGGTTTTTAGTGCAGTGTAGCGTTCTTGGTCCGGTGGATTGCTTATGAGATCACTTACTTGGCTGAGCTCCTCCTTGTCCAACTTGCTCATTACCATATTGTACTGGATCTGATCCCCCTGGTGTTGTGGTCCCATTACTGACTCGAGGCGTAGAAACCACATTTTAGGCATGTCGGTCCAAAATGGTGGGATACGCGACGCCAGGCCGATGGTGGCTATTTCGCCCAGTGCAAATGACGATGTGGACGGCGGCGGAATTGGCGTCCATCGTACTAACACAGTTCTAACACGGGGTCACCAATGTTGTGAATGGGTTTGTGGCTAGTGTATCTTAAGGGCTTGTGCAGGGAGGAAAATGAAGTAACGGTTCACATACATTGTAGCTGATTTATTTTGTACATCAGATTTGCGTATTCACATGATACTCATAGAAAGGAACTGCCTACTGCACTCTAGCTAACCGACTTACAGACTGCATACGATGGCGACGGTCGTTATTATTATAATATATAAATAATATATATATATATATATATATTTCATGCGAATTACATTTCCATTGATACGGGCGATGTATGTGTTTGCTGTATCAGCGGCACCCACACTATCATTTTTAATAAATAAAAATAAAATCATTTTTAATAAATAAAATTAAAAAAAATTGCTACTGTGATTCATAATCCGCCTGTCATGTGTGAAAATAAAATCGAAGAAAATCCTTTCTACGGAAAAGGCGCATGCTTAGCACTAGACTTTTACAGGCTGATGACAATGAATATTTACCTAATACACAACAAAGCTTCATTTTAAGTAAGATTCATTAATGATTCATGTATGCGCGTATAAATTTGCGAGGTATAACGAAATAAAATGATTTGATGGAGTAATGCAATGTCTGTAATATTGTGATATAATTGATCGGCTTATTTTTATATTTGTTAAAAATGGTACATTTCCTAATCCATACAGCTATTTCATGGATTATAAAAAATATCTACTTTTTTTAGAAATTCCTAAATGTATATAGAATTATGTCAGAGTAGTTGTAGCTTACGTATGATAGATGTAGGCGAGAGGATGATTGTAAAATTCACTGTGTCTACGTAAACATATACTTGCCAGTGATAACACGTAGTTCTTCACTACTGCCCGTATGAGAAAAATCAAAGTCAGCGATTGATGGAAAGAGCTGTGCTCAAAAATTCACTGCGAAATAAAATGCATAACAATGATACACGCAGAAGAGCAATAGTTAATGATATAAGCCAGCGCATCAATAATATAGCGTAAAAATGTGCACGAAATAAATCAACCTTGATAATATTAGTTTACTTACGTGAAGTGACCTGTAAAAGCGGCAACGGTGCGGTGCGGCGGCGCGCAGTGCTCACGCTGCATCGACATAGGTAGTTATTTACCTACACTTGCCCATACACAGGTTATTAATCGAAAAACGAAAATATGGCTACCGCTACTAGAATTTAAATAACCGTCGTGTATTTTTAGTTGAATATGGTTAAATAACGTTATATAGGATAAGTCTTTTCATCTAATGTGATAACATCATCGCAACCCAGTATTTAAAAACATTAATTAAAAGTCAGTGCCGACTCAAAGCACTTAAAATAATGGAAAATATCTACATTCTAAAGTTGGAGTTTTAATTCTACTAATCACTACGCTTTAGCATCGACTGCTTTATGTGTAATTCTTTTATTCTTTTTGGTTCATTGATGTCATTTTGTAGTTTGTGAAAAGTTGTTGTTACTTTCTTCGTGATAAACATAATGTAGATAAATTTTATTACAAGTTGACGCCTCTTCTTCGTAAGGTTTAGAATGTAACCAATGCGCAATAAATTACTGTTTGCTTCGGAAAGCATACAATCACTGCGTTTAGCATCATTTCACATCATTAGATATTCCATTGAGGACCAAATTTGTAAAGTTCAGAAAGCAGTCGCAACACCTATCTCATGATAAGCGATCTGTGATGCCGTCAGCATACATATTTACATAGTCACAGACCACTTACTTACATATGGCGCGATCCGCGAACACAACTCTGTTGCTTCTTTTACATCCGTCATCTACGCATACATGCCTGTCGGATACCTTAGTGCTGTATAATCTAGTTGGGTTCCTATAATTAATAAAATTAAATCCCAACCCAAGCATACAACTGTAAGATTTTAACGTACTGTCACGAACCTCAAGCTCGTAACAATTGGTGTCAGAAGTGGGATAAAATCATGCCGATTTTACCTAAGGAGGAAACGGAGGGTGTCCGTACCCGCAGTCAACACCAGCATGAGACGGACCAGCGGAGATTTGGCGGTGCAACGGCGCAGACGTCGGAGGGCCAACTGCCAGCCACGGAGGCTGCGGATCCGTCATTAGCTCCTGCATCTGCAGCACCTGACTTAGGTGCTCTGATGGCGATGCTACAGGAGCAGCTGCAGCGCGGACGAGAGGAACAGGCCCGTCTGTTGAAAGAGCAGCAGGAGGAACAGGCTCGCCGACAGGAGGAACAGGCTCGTCGACAGGAGGAACAGGCCCGCCGACAGGAGGAACAGGTCCGTCGTTTGGAAGAGCAGCTGCGGGGCGGACAAGAGGAACAGGCCCGTCGGTTGGAAGAGCAAATGCTCCTCATGAAGGATCTTCACACTACCTTCGGGAAGGAAATAAAGGAGGTTAAGGATAGGGTTGCTCAGCATGACAACTGCCTGTCGGAAGCTGAAACTCAAATCGCGAAGGCTAAAACCCAAATCAAGGAAGCTAAAACCCAAATCGACCAAGTGAACAATCGGGTAGACAACGTGGTGGCTAATGTGAAGAAAACGCTGGACGATCTCAAACTGGGGGATGGAACCTCCCGTAGTAGCTACAACACCTTCAGTACGTGGATTCAAAGTGCCGCCGTTCGACGGGACTTCTTCCTGGGCGGCCTAAAAAATCCAGTTCGAGGCTGTTATGAAGGCAAACGGCTGGAATAAAATTCAGGCCATGACTGCTCTCACACTAGGTTTGCGCGACCGGGCCTTAACTGTTCTAGAAGCTCTCGATAAAGAAGTGACTTACGAGCAGCTCCTTGAGGAATTGGAAGCTAGATATGGCGACGCTCACCTGGAACACGTCTTTCGAGCGCAGCTTAGAGATCGCGTGCAACGCAGCAATGAAAACCTGCAGCAGTGGGCTCTAGAGGTGGAGAAGCTGGTGCGAAAAGCATACCAGTCTGTACCTGCGCTCATTGAAGGGAACCCGGTGTAGACATTCATCGACGGCATCCGCGACCTGGAAGTCAGAGCTGCTGTGAGGCTCGGGCACCACGAGACGCTTAAAGACGCCTTGGCCCATGCACTGGAGGTGGAAGCCGTACGGCAGGATCATCGTTCCCATCGCATCAGGGAGGTTGCAGCAGCTATAGTACACGACCGCAACAAAGGATACAGCCCTAGGTGCTATGGCTGTGTGGAAAAGGGCCATCTTCGATCCAGCTACCCTAAGCGAACCCTAGAAAGGGAAGGTAAACGACCTCAGGAGGGTAGTGTGGCCAACAGCACCGCCCAGCAGCAGCAGGGAAACAAGTAAAAGCCAGAACTACGGGGCGGGTGCTGGCTGATGTTACAGTCTAATCATCAAGGGCGAGGTCAACGGAATGCCGTGTAAACTGACCATAGACACTGGAGCCTCTCGTACGGTTGTTAGTTCCCAACTTATAAGTCAGTTCCTTGGGGACTCCGCATACAACCGAGAACGCATTAATTTGGTTACAGCCACCGGTCAGCGTATACCCGTCCGTGGAGAGAAGGAGATAAAGTTGAAGCTAGGCAACGTAATCTATCTGCATAATGTCATCGTGGCTGATATAATGGACGACTGCATCCTAGGCCTAGACTTTATGAGGAATAATTGTTGTGAGATCGACGTTAAGCAAGGTGTTTTGAAATGTGGACAGGAGGAACTTTTTATGGAAGGTGCGTTACAAGGGAACGTGTACAGCATTAATAAGATTGTTCTTCCGCCGAGATCGGAAACGATTGTTCCGGTTAGTCTTCCACAAAATGCTGGGCAACCTCACCGTTGTGTACTTGTGGAAAGGGTAAACAATGACCTTCCATGGAAAGTAGCTCGAACCTTGATCAGGACCACTGACATCTCAGGAGTACGTGTGCTGAACCTTTGTGACCGGGAACAGATTATAGAAAAGGGCACACTGGTTGGTACTTGTGAGGAAGTGGATTGGTTACGTCGGTGCCAATATATATCGAGTGGGACCCTCAGCAAGGATTCAGAAACGAGAGTGATCACACTTTTGGAAGACTGTCGCAGTGTTCTCTACCTGAACGAATTGGTCAAGGCGAAGAAGTTGTTACTCAAGTACGCCGATGTATTCTCATCAAACGATGCTGACATGGGAAAGACTGGCTTAGTTCAACACAAAATAAACACAGGAGAAGAATTGCCTATCCGTCAGCAACCAAGAAGATTGCCAGTAGCACGTGAAAAGGAAGTGGAAACCATGATTGAGGGAATGGTGAAGGGTGGTGTTATTGAACCTTCATCTAGACCATGGTATTCACCCGTGGTGCTGGTAAAGAAGAAGGATGGAAGCATGCGGTTCTGTGTTGATTACCGCCGTCTGAACGACGTTACAAAGAAGGACAGCTATCCCTTGCCAAGAATTGATGACACGCTGGACATGCTTACAGGAGTAAAGTGGTTTAGCACGCTGGATATAAAAAGTGGCTACTGGCAAGTTGAAATTGACCCTAAAGACAAGGAGAAAACTGCGTCCTCGACGGGAAAGGGTTTGTGGCAATTTAAATTAATGCCGTTTGGGTTGTGCAATGCTCCAGCAACGTTTGAAAGGCTGATGGAACTTGTACTTACCGGGCTAATTGGCGATGCCTGTCTGGTCTCCTTGGATAACATCATCATCGTGGGCCGTACGTTTGAGGAACACCTTAAAATCTGGAACGCGTGCTCATGAAGATTCAGAGTGCCAACCTCAAGTTGAGCCCGAAGAAATGTTCACTATTCAAACGGCAAGTCAACTTTTTGGGTATGTAGGGTCGGAAGAAGGTATCCGCACGGATTCAGAGAAGATCGCAGCTGTAAAGGATTGGCCGGTTCCAAAAGACAAGACGCAGGTTAGAGCAT